CCGTCCCCTAGTGGCCCCGCGGCCCTGTCACCTAGCGGCTCCCCGGCCCTGTCACCTAGTGGCCCAGCGGCCCTGTCCCCTAGCGGCCCCACGGCCCCGTCCCCTAGCGGCCCCGCAGCCTCGTCACCTAGCGCCCTGCGGCCCCGTCCCAGAGCGGCCCCGCGGCCCCGTCACCTCGCGGCCCCGCGGCCCCGTCACCTAGCGGCCCCGCGGCCCCGTCCCCTAGCGACCCCGCTGCCCCGTCACCTCGTGGCTCCGCGGCCCCGCCCTCTACCTCTGTAGGTCGCCTGATCATGCCCATGCTCTTTCCTGACCTTGCATCTTTCCCCACTGTCGCTGACCTAGCCGCACACCTGCGCACGCTAGACACGACCTGGCGCGCTGCCTGCACTGAGGCCCAGCTTCGTGTGTTTCAGCCCCCCATCTGCACTACCCTCTACCTGCTTGCCACCCGCCTCCCTGACCGCCTTGCCACCGCCCGCGATCACTTCCTTAGTCTCCACCCCGCTGACCTCACCCTCACTGACTTTGTCGACACCCCATCTGCCATAGAGACCCGTCAGCGCTCTATCGCCCTGTCTAGCGGTATCGATCTTTCAAGGCTGTGCCCCTGCTCAGTGCTCTTACTCCGACAGTTCTGCTGCGATTGCTGAGATAGATCCGGCACTGGAGACAGCCGCTGCAGTGCATTTTCGTCCGGGTAAGGGTCGCCGCCCCAAGGCTAGGCGCGGCGGAGGTACCGGAGGAGGGGGTAATGTCGGTGGTGGAGGTGGCTCGCCCGTTGGTAGTACTGACGAGGGGGCTGGGGCTGGTGCCCCGGAGCAGCAGCCCCAGCAGCAGCAGCAGCAGCAGCGGAGGGTCGGCCGTCTCCCGCCCGGGTGGCTTATAGCTGGAGGTGACGGTGGTCGCAGTGGTCGCTCGCGCGGCGTTGCGTGGGTGGTAGTCAGAGTGACGGGCGTTGCAAGTACCAGCTCCAGACCGGTCCTCGCCGCGGCCTCGTGTGCCGAAAGATCGGCCATACCCCCGCTCGTTGCTTTCGTCGCCTAGACGACATGTTTCGTCTCCGCTTCGGCCCGTCACCTAACCTCCCCGACTGGCACAGTCCGCTCCGTCGTCGTGTTCGGATCTTTGATATGGACATGGATGAGATTAGCTCTGCTTTGTATGAGCTGTATGTTGATAACTCTAGTGTGACTGGTTCCTATTACCCTGTGTTGCCTAGCGTAGGTGTGCCCAGTGTGCATAGTTCAGGCTCCCCTGTTGCGTCAGGCGTAGGATCCCCTGCCTTGTTTAGCCTAGGGTCCTCCCTCGCTCCTCCGACCTGTGTCGCCGCTGCCGCGCTCTCCTTCACCCTGGACTCCGGCACTACCCGGTGTTTCTTTCGCGACTCCACGACGCTTACGCCGCTTGCCGCTCCTGCTGCAGTTGCTCTTGCAGACCCTTCCTCCGGTCCTGTAGCTGCCCGGAGCTCCACTTCTCTCCCCTGTCCGGCGGTTCCCTTAGGCTCGCTTACAGGCCTGCACATCCCCTCGTTCTCTAGAAACCTAGTTGATGTCGGCTGCCTCCAGGACCTTGGCGTCACCACTACGTTCCATGGGCACGAGCGGTACGCTGTCTGTATTGAGGCTGTCACTGGTGCCCCCCTCACCACGTTCCCCAGGGACCCGGTGTCTGGCCTCTGGCACGGACAAGCTCACTGCCCGCACTGTCCCCTGTGTCTTCCTAGGTTTCCCCCTCGACTCGTCGGATTGGCAATTCTACCACCCGCCTTCCCACCGGTTCTTTCACTTTCGTGACCTCACTTTTGACGAGTCCGTCTCCTACTACCACCGCCTTCCCCACCGTGGTCCCCCGGTCACTCCCCCCCAGTTCCTAGTGCCCCCCCCTCCCTCGGTCGACCCTGTCCACCCCCCTCCCCGCCCTGCCCCGTCTGGTGTGTCTCACGTCACCCCCCTCCCGTCAGTTGTCCCTGCTGAGGAGTCCGCTGACTCTCGCGGCTCGGCGGAGTCTCTTCCCCCGCTTGTCCTTGCCCCGGCCTCGCCTTCCTTGTCGCGGCCGCTGCTATCCCCACCGCAGCCGCCTCTGCCGCTGCCGCAACAGCCGTAGCCGCCGTCGTAACTGCCGCTGGGGTTCGTGCGTTCTGGGGGTGCTGGGGAGCGGGCTGGAGCTTGTTCTAGAGCGGGCTCTAGGGGTGCTGGCGTGGGGCTTTTTGGAGGGAGACGTGTTGTCGCTGGAGGTTCTGGTGTTGGAGTCAGGCAGCAATCGCAGCTGTCGCCGCCGGTGTCTACTGTTCGCCTCCTTGGTCTTCCTTCCCCTTACCGCCCGTCGCTGCCTCCCCCACTGCCCCCGCCTCCTCCTCTGCTGGTCCATGGCCTCGTGTTTCTCCCCCGAACTCCTCTCCAGCTCGTTTCCCTTCGCGTTCTCCTCCTGTGTCTCCTCCCCTCTCTCCTGACCCGACTCCTTCGTCTCACGTCTGATCTCATCGTCCGTCTCGTGCTCCTCCTACCTTCCCTTTTCCACGAACTCACCCTATGTTGCTTTGCTCTCACGCGTCTCGTGCTCCTCCTCTCCTCCCGTCTCCTCCTCCGTCGTCGCTTGCTGTGGCCCCGCCTCCATTCTTGGACTTCCTCCGTGCTGCGCGTCCCCTTGTTCCTCGTATCCTTGCCTCTCTCGTTACCGACCCGTCCGTTCCTGTCTCGAGTCTGTCGTTTCTTCACGCTGCTGTCACTGACTTCGCCGCTACCCGCCGCCTGGACTACGCCACCGCTCTGGTCTCTGACCCTGCCTGCCCTCCGAGCGTCAGGGGTGTGGCTGCTCTTGGCAGTGACGTCCTAGAGGACATGCAGTTCGAGCTCGCTTTCCTACATGAGGCCGCTCCCCATCTCTGTTCCATGCTACTAGTCCCTGAGGGTGACCTAGACGCCCTCGACATTCCGACCCCTCACACCTACGCTGAGGCCACCTCGGGACCCTAGACCTCTCAGTGGATAGCTGCCATGGAGCAGGAGATGGCATCTTAAAAATCCACCAATGCTTTCGTCGACGCAGTTCCCCCACATGGGGTGAACGTAGACGATGGCCGGTGGCTCTTCAAGGTGAAGCGCCCTCCTGGAGAGCTGCCTGTCTTCACGGCACGCTACGTCACTCGAGGCTTCAGTCAGCATGAGGGGGTGGACTTCTTACAGACCTTCGCTCTGACCCCGAAGATGACCACTCTTCGGGCGCTGCTATACGTAGCAGCACAGCGTGACTACGAGCTGCACTCCCTCGACTTCTCCACAGCTTTCCTCCAGGGCATCTACACGAACAGGTCTACCTGCGCCGCCCCCAGGGCTTCTCCGGTACCTTCTTCCCTGGCACCGAGTGGCTCCTCCGGCACCCCCTCTACGGCTTGCGACAGGCGCCCTGTGAGTGGCACGACATGCTGCATGCTACACTTGCTGACTTGCAGTTCTTCCCTCTGTCTGCAGACCCCTCTCTCTTTGTCCGTTCTGGCCAGACTCTGTTCTACATCCTTGTCTATGTAGACGATCTGAGCTTTGCTACTGCAGACAGAGACGCACTGGCCGCCGTGAAGGCCGAGGTGCTGAGAAGACACACCTGCTCTGACCTAGGAGAGCTGCGCCGCTACCTTGGCTTGCAAATCTCCAGGGACAGAGCAGCGCGCACCATCACTCTCTCACAGTCACACTTGGTGCGCCAGGTCCTTCAGAGGTTCGGCCTTCTGTTCTCTTCCGCACCGCCCACCCCTCTGTCAGTAGACCACACACCCTGTGCCCAAGTCCCTGAGGAGGCTGTAGAACCTAGTGGTCACTAAGCAGAGCTGGTGGGTTACCTCATGTACCTGATGAGCACTCGTCCAGATTTCGCATACCCTCTCAGCATCTAGACTCGCTTTGTGGCCCCAAGGAGACACTGACCACAGCATTGGTCGGCAGCTAAGAGGGTTTTGCGTTATCTAGCAAGTACATCGGGCATGGGGCTAGTGCTAGGAGGACGCAGACAAGTGGTCCTTACCGAGCACACAAACGCTTATTGGGCAGACGACGTCGAGACTCTCAGGTCCTCACAGGGCTACTCATTTAGCCTTGGTGCAGGTGCCATCTCGTGGAGGTCCACCCGTTCCTCGTCTGTTGCCCAGTCTAGCTGTGAGGCTGAGATCTACGCAGGTGCCATGGCGGCACAGGAGCTCCGCTGGCTGACCTTCTTGCTCACCGACTTGGGTGAGCGGCCTAGCTCTGCCCCGGTTCTGTACGCTTACAAGAGGGCCATGATCCTCTAGTGTCAGGAGCCATGACTTGAGGAGAGCGAAGCAAATCCAGCTGCGGTACTTCCTCCTACGCGTGCTGCAACAGCGTCGCCAGGCTCGTGTAGTACACTCGGCCTCTAAGGCGCTTGAGCCTAAAGATCATCAGCGACACTGTGTACAGCTAGGTCTCGTTCCTGTAGCCTCTCACTTGCTAGGACCTTGATTGTGTACAGACTTTTATATATATTACCCGGACTGGCCTTGTGGCCTCTTCCCAGTGGCTGGACTAGTAGTGCCACCCGGGTCTTGCTCTTGCCTTGTCTGTACTTGTTTGACTGGTCTTTAGACACCTGCCTCAGAGGCTGGACTAGTAGTGCCACCCTGAGTTGTTTCTCTCTCATCGGGCACTGTCCCTATCCAGTCTAGGGGGTGTGTCAAGATATATTGTATGTTTCTGTAGACTATATAGGGTTGTGCCTTAAGGAGTACAACCCATTAGGTTATTTTCCGTTGTATGCCTTGTTCTACATTTTCTCACTTGAATACAGAGTTCTGTCCTAAAAAAAGGCTGAAATTTCAGGCCTGTGTCTTCAGAAAATCCTGACCTTCAGGGTCACCCCCCAAAAAGGCCCTGATTTTACCCTGAATCAGGGTAAAAAGCCTGCAATCTGAGGCCCTGTCTGAGACCACCAACTCTAGATTCCGGCCACACTAAACACGTGGCTTACTTTTACAATAGTTGTCCCTTGCGGAGAGAGGAAGCAGCAAAATCAGCCATTGAGTTGGATGTCAAAGTAAGAAAGAAAATGGTATACAAGGGTGCCATACACACTACAACCTACTGGAGCTTGCACTCCATACATACTATAGTTTATCTACATGATAATTTCGGGCTTGAGAATGTTAGCCTTGATTTCTTTGTGTGGCAGCACTACCCCCCCATTGGCATACACCTCGTCCTGAATGTGCACGTCCTCCCCCAGCACCGTCATGTTCTCCAACCGCGCCCATTGCCCGACCGTCGAGTGCCACCTGGCAGACGTAAGCAACAGCACGCAACAAGGGCAGTATGAGGAGGTTAGCTCACAGCAGACTGATTCTGTGTATGGTGTGCGTGAAGGCAGGGTAGCGTGCGTGTAATGGGGTGGATCACAGTGCGCATGCGTGCAGGTATGAGCAGATGGGAATGGAAGCGCAAGCACTGCACACCCATATGCATCCATGTCTGCGATAAGTGTGGCTGTGTGCTCAAACCTTGCATGGGGTTATGAGTGCGTCAGACAGCATGCCTGTGATGTTGAGGCCGCAAGTGCATACTGCAGTGTGTGTTGTGTGGCTTTATGCATGTGCACAACCACACGTTTGTAAATCCATGCCAGTAGGTGCACTAGCCCATCCACACCATAGCCCCAACACCCATACCACCAACACCCCCACCAGCAAAAGGACTCAGCACCACCCCTCCCCACGAGCTCACACAACAATGCTGCCGGTGATGCGGGCATGCTTGCTGATGCGACCCCCTGCATGATAGTGCACATGCGTGCACACAACACACCCAGCTAGCCACCTCCCACCGCCACTACTCACCCAACGATGCTGCCGGTGACGCAGGCGTGTTTGCTGATGCGCACGCCCTTCATGATGGTGCAGCGCGACAGGCGCACACCGTCCTCGATGACGCAGCCCGGCCCGATGGACACGTCCGGGCCGATCAGGCACCCCTCGCCGATGCGCGCACTCTCGTCCACCAGCACGCTGCCCACTATGTGCTTGCCCGTCGCTAGCTTGTCGGGGCTGCGAACAGGGGAGGGAGGGAGGCAGGGAGGAACAACGGAGGCTGTCCTGTTAGCCACATGCAGGCGCAACGCGGCCGCGAGTGGATGCGGGCAGAGAGCCACCCCGCCTTCACGGCATCCGTTCGCGTACTCCCTGAGTCCCCCAGTGCTCGCGGGTGAATCAGCAGCTGCAGTCCCTTGAACGCGGCGTGCGTTCAGAAGAAATACAGAGTTGGTGCTACAGATGCACGCATGCAACGACATCCGTGCCTTGGCTACTTCCGGGATTGTCGCAACCAGACAGCGACAGAGGCACCATTGGAGCGGACTAGCGGCTTCGGGCCTAACAGAAGGCAGCCCAACAAGGGACGGTGGCGGAAGGGACGGTGGCGGAAGGGACGGTGGCGGAAGGGACGGTGGGCGAAGGGTCTATCAGAGGTGGGGAACGAGGCCATAGCGCGTTCAAGGGGGTCGTGCTGGTTCAAGCCCGAGGTCCGGATTGACCAAGATGGGGGTGTTGTTAAATACTTAAAGCAGTGCAGCGAACTTTTTCTGCAGGACTCTTGAGGCACGAGACTCCAATCCACCCTACTCGAAATCGAAATACGATACATCGTTTCTCCCGAGATCCACTCACTGGTTCTGGCGCAGTGATTCGAGGTAGAGCCTCAAGCCGCTGTTGTAGTCGCGGGGCTGGCCGACGTCCATCCAGAAGCCGGGCAGCACCATGGCGAAGAGCTTGTTCTCGGCGGCGATCTTGGGGAAGACCTCCTTCTCGATGCTCGTGGGGCGCAGCTCGATGCGGTTGAGCACGGCGGCGTTGAGCAGGTAGATGCCGGCGTTGATCTTGTTGCCCACGAACACCTTGGGCTTCTCCACGAACCGCTGCACGCACGCCGTCGCCTCGTCCAGCACCACCACGCCGTACTTGGACGGCTCCTCCACCTGCAGGCAGGGGGAACGAGTACCGTGGAGTGGGAAAGAAAAAGTGAGAACTTGATTCAACAGCACTGAAAAGTGCGAGCAATATCGAAAAAGCATGAAATATGGCGGAACATGTGCCGATGAAGAAAGCATTTGTGAAATTTGGCTGACAGGACCATTCGCACACGAAAATGAAATGAATCAATCGCAGGCAGGAGCAAGCAGTGGGCGCGCGACTGACCTTGGTGACCATGATGGTGCACTCGCCGCCCTTGGCCTTGTGGAAGTCGAGCATCTGAGTGAGCGGGTACTCGCTGATCACGTCGCTGTTGAGCACGAAGAAGGGGTCGCCCGAGCCGTCGTCCAGGATGTGTCGGGCGAGGGCGAGCGGGCCCGCCGTGCCCATGGGCTCCTTCTCCTGCGAGCACACGATCTTGATGCCCAGCTTCGGCTCGTACTCCTTGATGAAGTTCAGCATCACCTGGATGTTGTTCGGCCGGCCCACGGGGGTCACGCGGGTTAGGGGCGGGTGTGGATTCGATTTTGAATAAACTTTTTTGAAATTTGGTTTTAGCACGTCGAGGGATTGCACCTGAGCTAGGTGACCTAATGATTGAGAAGATTCGTGAAAGATCCGCAAGGAGATTCCGAGAGAAGGGCCGCACCTCGGGCTGGTAGTTGATGGCGAGAACGACCTCGTCGACGCCCGCCGCTTTAAGGGCCTCGATCTGCACGCACACGACGCGAATGGCATGGCATGTTAGGCACCGACGCGGAGGTTGTGACCACTGCGATGGGATGGTGCTGATCGCCAAGCGCGCAATGAGAAAATCTCGGTAGAGGGCGCGGCGGACGTGCCTGGTGGAGGATCATGGGCTTGTTGGCGAAGTCGACGAGCGGCTTGGGCACGCTCAGGGTGAGCGGCCGCAGCCTCGTGCCGAAGCCGCCCACGAGAATGAGAGCCTTCATGCTGCCGCGGGGCTGTGCGGTGGCGATGCGATCTTAAGTTCGCGGCGATACAATCGCAGTCACTGGGAAGAAACAAAGAAACGATAGGGATATCTGGCGTCCAAGGGCGGAGGAGAACTGCGACTGCAAGGAGGACTACGGAAATTCTATGCGACAGAGTACGAGTCTAACACGAGGATGTGAGGCGGATAAGTAGTGAATGGAGCAACAAATTGCTCTCCCAGCTAATCCCTAGGGCGAAGCATCTGTGGGGGGCTCTGCTTGACAGGAAAGCTTCAAACGCGGATGAACGTTTGCTCTTTCGCAACACCTACCCCAGCGGGCCGACCAACCAACCAGCCCTTGCTGACCGTTCCGCTGCCACGTGCGATCAATCCGAGCCCGCTGTCCACGGATTGAGCAAAGCTGTGCTGAGCTGATGTCATCGGAGTCCAGGTGGCCAGCTGCACCTGGAAATGACCACTGCCCGTTCGTCCCCTCGGGCTGCCGCTGATTGGTGGAACTGTTGTTGGCCGTGAGAAGTTAGGTGAGCAGACGTGGCCGTTGCCCTGCCAGGTGTTGACGGGCGTAACTGTTCCAAACCTGTGTTCCGTCAGCGTTGCGGTGCGGTTCAGGTAAAAGACGCACCTGCGGCTTGATCATGGGAGAATATTCTCGATACTCGATAAGGACTTCCTTTGTTTGTCATGCGCAGCTGAAGTCATGGTATAGGACTCGCTTATAATAACAGCATAATGGAATATGCTCTATCGGGGGGTGACTAAATGGTGCTATATAGTTTGCCCTGTGATACTAACTGCGGTGGTTTGGAAGAGGTCGGCGCGCCGAGTGGAGTCTCCAAGGGCGACGCGACGGGAACACTGAAATCGCCACACCACAACCTCGGTATCCCACAGGCCGGTGGCAGGGCTCTGGCTAACAGAGTAATTACCCTATATCTCGCGAAATTTAAAGTTTTTTACGAACTGACTTCGTTTGTTTGTATAGTAAAAGGTTTTTATTTCCGTCTACCTAAAGGATTACTTGTCGTGCGATTCCTTGACATTGCGGGTTAATTTTCTTTGATTCCATACGAAGAGAATTGCAGTAGAAAATCTGTCGTAGTGGTGTATCACACATTCCCACTCCCCTCTACTTTTCCCAAATTCCTCCACTAAGCAAAGCGTGAGGTTAGTTGCCGGGAGTTTTTCTACTCTTCCAACTGCCTGAGGTGCGGGTTCCGCCAAAAACAGTCCCCGGGGTTTCGACGGCTTTTCCTAGCCCTGGCCAAGGCCATTTGCCTTCAAGGATGTTTCAAACCAAAAATAGCTAGCTCTTCGACGAATCCGTATGCTAACGGGTAATATTTAAGCGATTCCGTCCGCTAAGGGGTATTTTCAGGGACGATTCCATGACCTAACCGAAAACCCTAGGCTTAGCGAGAGCCCTGGCGGGTGCCTTGCAAAAACAATGCCCTTTCTACCCTTGATTTCGGTCAGCACTGAACCAACGATTCACAGAAAGGTGACACCAGAACTGCTACCGTAAACCCATCCTGCGTTTTACCAGACGATGTCCGCAAAGCGCCCTGCCCAGGTGGATGATGGCCCCATCCATGTCAATTGGTATTTTCGGTGCACTTGCAACTTGCCTGTTGTGAACTCGGCGAGTCCCCCAAAGTGTCGAGCCCTGAGAGAGGAGCTGCCCTGGGGAGGTTCACTTCACAAAACAGCTGCTGCCTTTCTACAGGGGCTGTGGCGCCAGCCACATCCGGTGACAACGGGCCGAGACAAAAGCAGGGGCTAGTCAAGATTCCCACTAACCATCGCATGGACGGGCGTAGTTCCCAAGTTAGCGGATGATTTGCCTTGTCTCGCGTTCGTGATGGTCTAGTTGCGGGTTTACGAAGTTCTGGCGCTTTCTACTGGCCGGTACATTCACACGGACGATTGAACAGCCTTTACTGGACGAACGGCCTACTCGCGGCGCTAAATTCGCATGGACTGATTTGCGCTAAACCGCTCGATTGATTCGCTCCCTCGCGTCTCTCAGGCTGCTCCCTCGCGTCTCTCCATGGCGTCCGCCGCGCGTCGCTACGTCTGCCTCCTCCTTCTCCCGTTCCTCCTTTCCTGCGCATCCCCTTCCGCCCCCCACCCCTCCTCCCTCCCCCATTCGTCCTCGTCGTCGCCTATTCCCCCATGGCGCACCTCTCGTCGGCGTGCGACGCTCAGCGACACCGTGCGACGCTCTGGCGCGAGAGAGTACCCGAACCTCATGCAGATTGCGACGGCGTCGTATCCCAACAGCGCCGTCGCCCCCTACGACTGGGCGTACTTCCCTGGTAGGCCGCATCGACTGGGCGTACTTCCCTGGTAGGCCGCTTCCACTGGGCGTACTTCCCATTGCCGGCTGATTCTCGCTAAACTTGGAGCACGGGTGAGATTCCCACATGGCCGTCAAGCTTCTGACTGTTGGAAATGCTCTCTTTTGCGCTGCGGCCGTCACGCATAAGTCGAACCAGTCGCTGCTGTCGGAGCAGTGCCGCGCATCCGCTTCGCCATAGTGAGAAGAGGCAGCGCGGATTCACGCGTCAAGTGCGACTCCCCACCGCATTCTTTACTTCTCTCCGCACCAATCCCCCGAACCTTCCCCCTACCCTCCTCCTCCCCCCCTTCCCCCCCCCCCCCCCCCTCCGATCGTGCATCCTTGGCCCCGGTGCGCAGCGGAGGTGCCGGAGCACGCGCTCGTGGTGAGGTTCGAGTTTTACAAGCAATGGACCGCCGCCCGGGGGGTGAGCAGCACGTTGCCGTCTGCCCTTCCCCTCACAATCGTTCCGTCCTCCGTCGCTCGCTCCTTAGGCCCCACCCTCTCCTTCCCTCGCATGTAACTCCCGGTCTCTCAACTGCCACTGGGCTTATCCGGCTCTCACGAGAGCGGCTGGGTTGATTATAGGCTTGGTTGATTATCGGCTGGGGTTAGTCCCTTCCCCCCCTCGTTTTCTCCCCCTGTCAACCTCATCCCCGCCCTTTCTCCTCGTCTCTATTTCTCAATCTCGTCCCCCTCCCGTTCCCCTCGTCTCAACCTCACATCCTTTCCTTTCTCCCCTTGCTCAAACCCCCCCCCTTCCCCCTCACCGCGCGTCAGGCGCGCGCTGCCGACGCGCCCGCTGTGCCGCTGGTGTGCTTTGCGCTGGGCTCGCTGCCGCTGCCGTCAGAGCAGGAACCGCGATGTGCGTGCCATCCGTCGTCTGCTCCCCCAGCCGCTACAGATTCCCTTTTGCTACAGACGCCACTGCCCTGCTCTCGGTGCCCCCGCGCGCCCTACTAGCAGCAGGCAGTGTTGCACCGCCCTTGCATGACATGCCTCTGCCTTTGAGTCGACCCAAGTGCACTGCTGGACGCTCCTGTTGTTGCATTCATTTCCGCCTCCTCACCCCTCTGCTCATTCCCCGTTCCGCTTTCTCTCATGTTGCCCCTCTCACCGCCGCCACCTCTCCTCACCAGTCATCTCATCCTCTTGCCAATGCCCTGCTCATCCCCTTCGCCCCCCTGCAGCTCTCTCATTCGTTCCGCGCATTTCTTTCCCCCCGCCCCCGTCTCTTAACGACAGCGCTTCATCCCCTTCCCCCACTCCCTTTCCCCACACACACCCCCCTCCTTTCCGCCCCTTTGCAGACGGCTCACTGGAGGCAGCAGCCCGGGCGGCGGGGGGAGCCCTCTCTCCCTTTGGGGGGGCGATGGGTGCAGTGGCAGTGGAGAGGGGGCAGGGGCTGGGGGAAGGTCCGGGGGCAGGGATAGGGGCTGGGGGAGATGCGGGGGCGGGGAAGGATGGGGGAGGTGGGGCGATGGATGCATCAGCTGCAGCTGCAATTGCGGCCATGCTGGGGGATGGGTTTGGGGGGGGGAATGCTGGGGGGAACGGGACAGGGGGGACAAGGGGGGTGGGGGAGGCGAGGAGAGGGGCTGTAGCGGGGGAGACACACTGCGCGTTGTTCCGCTCCACCAGCACGTTCAACCTCATTGCTGACGACAACGTGAGGGCTCTTACCAAGGGAACAGAGATCGGGAGCTGGGAGTGAAGGTTAGGAGAAAGGCCCAGTGAGAGCCTTGATCTTATCGTGGGCTCGAGTCTCGACTCGAATCAGCCTTGTTGTCAACGCGTCGTGCTGTGGCCATCAGTGCCATCATCATCATCATCATCATCATCATCATCATCATCATCATCATCATCATCATCATCATCATCATCATCATCATCATCATCATCATCATCATCATCATCATCATCATCATCATCATCATCATCCTCGTCGTCATCATCATCATCGTCGTCATCATCATCCTCGTCGTCATCATCATCCTCGTCGTCGTCGTCGTCGTCGTCGTCGTCGTCGTCGTCATCGTCATCTGCCTTTCATCCTCGGGATCGTCATCAGTGCGCTGCGCACAGCAAGCTTGCCGTGCGTCCTCCGTCCTCCGTGCTCAGTGCTCCGTGCTCTGTGCTCTGTGCTCTGTACTTTGTGCTCAGTGCTCTGTGCTCCGTGCTGCCCTCTGAGAACATTTCCCCCTGGCCCCAACTCCCACCCGTCCACCTCCATCCCTTTCTCATCTCATCCCTCCCCATGCGTCCCATCTCTCTCATCCCATCCCTCGCACCCCTCACCAGTCCCTGTCAGCCACGTGGAGATTGGGGTGTTCAGCTCGTCTCTCCTGCCCCTCCCACGCCCCCTCCCCAGCCCCTATCTGCCACGTGCAGCATCTGTGTGTTCACCACAGTTGGCCCCGTGCCACTTCCCTTCTCCCACCCATCGCTCCCATCCCTTTCATCTCATCCTCCCCACCCTCCCCCAGCCCCTGTCTGGCATGTGGAACGTGGGGGTGTTCCCCATGTGGGGCGCGGCGCGCACGCAGTCGAAGATGGTGCTGCGCGGCGACCCCTTCTCCTTCGCGCTGCACGTCTCCGCCTTCGCGTGCTTCAACGCGCCGCTGCTCGCCGGCCCCTCCTGCACCGCCTACTTCACCCCCCTCCCCCTCTCGCCACTCCCCTCTCCCTCTCTGCACCCCGCGCCACCTGTGGCCGCGCCACAACAGAATGATTTCTCCAACTCCTCTTCCCCCCCCTCCTCCTCCCCATCCTCTAACTCCTCCTCCTCCTCCTCCTCCTCCTCCTCCTCCTCCACCTCCTCCTCCTCCTCCTCCTCCTCCTCCTCCTCCTCCTCCTCCTCCTCCTCCTCCTCCTCCTCCTCCTCCTCCTCCTCTTTCCCCCTCTCCTCTTCCCCCTCTCCCTCCTCCTCCCCCTCCTCCTCCCCCCCCTTCTCTCTCGCGCTCCCCCATCACGACAGCTTCGACATACCGGGCATCAACGCGGTGTACGGCGGCTCCCTCGCCCGCCAGTGCGTGCGCGCCTCCTCCCCGCCGCTGCGCTTCACCCTCGCCGTCCCCAAGCCGCTCCCCAAGCTGCTCCTCTCCATCTCCCCTGACCCCTCCTCCTCCCCCTCCTCGTCCCTGCCTTCGTGGCTCGCTGGCAGCGGCCACGCCTTCAATGCCTCCCGCCCCTCTCTCTCTCTGCAATTGCGCCGCACGGCTCTCCTCGGCTTGTCCAACCGCGGAGCGCCAGCTGGACCCTCGTTTTCCGTGCAGGCAGCGTCAGAGCGACAGGTGCAAGCAGGCAGTAACAGCAGCAGCAGCAGCAGCAGCAGCGGTGGGGGCAGCAGCGGGCCGGGGGGCAGCGGGTGGGTGGTGGTGGAGGGGGGGAGTGGGGTGGACGTGGTGTGGAGCGAGGGGCGCACGGACGTGGGCAGCTGGCGGGCCGTGTTGGACCCAGGCACGTGGCTCCTTGTGCTCTCGCACCCTCGCAGCACCGCTGGTAGGAGTTCCTCCAATAGCAGCAATGGTGACAGCAACAATAGCAGCAGCAGTGGCAGCAGGGAGGGGAATGGTGGTTGGTGGGCGTCGTTGTGGGGAGGGGCGAGGGGACAGGGGCAGCAGGGAGGGGCTGACCACGAGGGAGGGGAGGGCGAGGAGGTGTGTGTGAGCATCCAATGGAAGCTTGCCACGTGTTACTCCCGTGCCATTGGCCCTCTGTGCCAGTGGCCGCTCATCCCCCTCGAGGTGAGGAGTGGACGTGGGGGGAGAGGTGGGGGGAGAGGTGGGGGGAGAGGTGGGGGGATAGGGGAGATGGGTAGAGAGGGGAGGTGGGGGGATAGGGGAGGTGGGGGGAGTGGGGTGGGAGGGGGAGAGGGGTGGTGGGGGGAGAGGGGAGGTGGGGGGAGAGGGAAGGTGGGGGAGAGGTAGTTGGGGAAGAGGGGAGATGGGGGGAGAGGGGGGAGAGGGGACGTGGGGGGAGCGGGGTGGTGGGGGAAGAGGGGAGGTGGGGGGAGAGGGGTGGTGGGGGGAGAGGGGAGGTGGGGGGAGAGGTGAGGTGGGGGGAGAGGGGTGGTGGGGGGAGAGGGGTGGTGGGGGGAGAGGGGAGGTGGGGGGAGAGGGGAGGTGGGGGGAGAGGTGAGGTGGGGGGAGAGGGGTGAGGGGGGAGAGGGGTGTTGGGGGGAGAGGGGTGGTGGGGGGAAAGGGGAGGTGGGGGGAAGGGGGGGGTGAGGGGAAGAGGGGTGGTGGGGGGAGAGGGGAGGTGGGGGGAGAGGGGTGGTGGGGGGAGAGGGAGGTCGGGAGAGACGGAGGTGGGGGGAGTTGTGGGAAGGGAGGGGAGGTGGGGAGAGATGGGAGGTGAGGAGAGCGAGTGTGGGGAGGGGAAGGGAGGTGAGAGGAGAGGGGAGGTGTGAGGGTGGGCGGGTGATTGGAACGGTGCGAGCAAGGGAATCGCAAGGCGAGCGGCAGCAAGGTGTAGGAGGTTGAAGGTGGGAGGTGGGAGGTGGGAGGTGGAAGGTGGGAGGTGGAAGGTGGGAGGTGGAAGGTGGGAGGTGGGAGGTGGGAGGTGGGAGGTGGGAAGTGGGGGGTGGGAGGTCGGGGGTTTGCATTGCATGTTCTAGACTCTCGCCTCCCACCATTGCTTCTCCCTTCCACCCCCACATGTACCAGCCAGCCTCACATCTACTTGCGCCTCCTACTCTTGATTCTCCCCTCACCCACCTCTCCCACGCCCCCCGCACATCCCACCTTTCCCTTCGTGCCATCCAGCCCACGGTTGCCGTCCTCTGCCCCTCACACCCCCCACGTCTCCCTTCCCCTTCCCCATCCCCGTGCCCTTCTCTCCCCACCCATCCCCCCCAGCTGCACCTGCTGGCCTGGACCTTCGAGTCTGGACTGGACGCCGTCTATCTCCCCCCAGCCTCCTCCTCCCCGCCCACCCTCTGGTCCTCCTGGTTCCCCGTCCCCCTCGCGTCCTCGCCCTCCCCCGCGCGCCCCGCGTGGGCCTTCCTCTCGCTCACCCCGCCCTTCGGCGCGCGCGGGGGCGTGATCACCGTGCAGCTCCGACTCGTGCCCGCTGGGAGTGGGGGAGGGGGAGAGGGGGGGGAGAAAGGGGCGAAGCGAGAGGGTGGAGTGTTGGGGGAGAGTGATGGAGGCAGCAGCAGCAGCATGGCGTATGCAACAGATAACTCGTCTGCTGTGCCTGCACGTGCGCCCCGCCCCGCGTTTGTGTATCTCCTGGCTCGTGCGGGCGCCCTGCCGTCCCTCTCCCACTTTGATGCCTCGGCTGTAGCGCCAGCAGCGGATATGGGTGAGTGAGTGCTCGTACATTATAGCCTGGTAGGCTAGTATGCATTGAAGTGTGCACCAAATGTTGGTGTACAGATTTTGTTCTTGGGGTAACCCAATGGTGGTTGGAGCCCCCGAGCACCAAGGCCACAAATGTGGGGGCCAATTGTGATTGGTTCAGCCCAACCACAATTGGCGCCAATGGTGGTTGGATTTCCTAGCCACATTTGGTTTCCCCAGCGAGGGAAGGGACGAGCAATCAAATGAAGGCGCAGTGGTTCCTGCAAGCTGCCAGTACACTCCACTCTAACTTGCGCCTCAAGTGACCCCAGTACTGCTATCCTCCCCCCCCCGGTCCACCTCATCCTGCCCCCTTCCCCCTCCCCCTCTCCCCTCTCTTCCCACCCCTCAGCCCCCAGGGGCGGGCTGCTCTCTCTGGAGCTCATTCACCCCGCCGAGGTCACCACCTTCGTGGCCGTGGGGCTGGATGGGGGGGGACCAGGGGGATGGGGAGGGGGGGGAGCTGGAGCGGGGGCAGGAGAGGGGGAGATGGAGATGGAGGGGGAGGGGGAGTGGGCGTGGGAGTGGGAGGTGCGGGTGGTGCAGCACGGGTGCCCCAACGGCTGCTCTGGCAGCCCGTGCCATGTCATGGCGGATGGCGCCTTCCAATACGGCGTCTAGTGCGTCATGCCCTCTCTCCTCTCTCCTCTCTCCTCTCTCCTCTCTCACACTCTCACTCACTCTCTTCAACTGTCTTTTTTCCCCCTCTTTTCTCTTGCTTCTCTCTCCCTCTTCTCGCTTGCTTCTCTCTCCCCTCGTCTCTCTTGCTTCTCTCTCCCCTCTTCTCTCTTGCTTCTCTCTCCCCTCTTCTCTCTTGCTTCTCTCTCCCCTCTTCTCTCTTGCTTCTCTCTCCCCTCTTCTCTCTTGCTTCTCTCTCCCCTCTTCTCTCTTGCTTCTCTCCCCCCTCTTCTCTCTTGCTTCTCTCTCCCCTCTTCTCTCTTGCTTCTCTCTCCCCTCTTCTCTCTTGCTTCTCTCTCCCCTCTTCTCTCTTGCTTCTCTCTCCCCTCTTCTCTCTCACTCGCCCACCCACTCACAGAGCCACGAACCCACGCCATTCCTACGCGTGCACACTTGCATGCGCTACTTGCATGCGCCACTCGTATGGCCCTGCTCCCGTGCCTCGCATGCTCATGTGTGTATCTCTCACCCTCCTTCTCCCCCTCGCCCAGGAGCCGCCTGACTCTGATTTGTTCACTCACTGCGCTCTCCACTCGCCCTGCACTCCCTGCCAACCTTCCCCCGTCCCTGCAGCTACTGCTTCTGCGATCGATCGCACGGCGGCATTGACTGCTCGGTTGAGGTCGTCTCCCAGTACGGTGAGGGGCTTTGGGATGAGCACTCTGGGAAGTGCCTCTGACTATGCTGCCACATGCCTGTGCTGCCACATGCCCGTCGTGCCACATGCCCGTCGTGCCACATGCCCGTCGTGCCACATGCCCGTCGTGCCACATGCGCGTCGTGCCACATGCCCGTCGTGCCACATGCCCGTCGTGCCACATGCCCGTCGTGCCACATGCCCGTCGTGCCACATGCGCGTCGTGCCACATGCCCGTCGTGCCACATGCCCGTCGTGCCACATGCCCGTCGTGCCACATGCCCGTCGTGCCACATGCACGTCGTGCCACATGCCCGTCGTGCCACATGCCCGTCGTGCCACATGCCCGTCGTGCTGCCATATTCTCTGTGCCTCCCGTCACCTTGCCTTCTCCCAACCCTATGCAACCCCCCCGCACATGGCCGTGCCAGGCATAGAGCAGCAGCGGTTCGCGCTGGTGGCGAGCAACGTGGTGGCCGTGCTGCCCGCCATGGCATCGCTGTACCTGGGGGTAAGGCATGGGTCGGCATGGGTCGCTGTACGGGGTAAGGCATGGGTCGCTGTACCTGGGGGTAAGGCATGGGTCGCTGTACCTGGGGGTAAGGCATGAGTCACTGTACCTGGGGGTAATGCATGGGTCGCTGTACCTGGGGGTAAGGCATGAGTCACTGTACCTGGGGGTAATGCATGGGTCGCTGTACCTGGGGGTAATGCATGGGTCGCTGTACCTGGGGATAAGGCATGGGTCGCTGTACCTGGGGGTAAGGCATGGGTCGCTGTACCTGGGGGTAAGGCATGGGTCGCTGTACCTGGGGGTAAGGCATGGGTCTCTGTACCTGGGGGTAAGGCATGAGTCACTGTACCTGGGGGTAATGCATGGGTCGCTGTACCTGGGGGTAATGCATGGGTCGCTGTACCTGGGGATAAGGCATGGGTCGCTGTACCTGGGGGTAAGGCATGGGTCGCTGTACCTGGGGGTAAGGCATGGTCGCTGAACGTGGCGCTTGCTCATGCACACTCATTGTCCGCTCATGCTGTGAATGCCGCCACTATCGCCCTATCCCTGCTCTTTCCTTCTGCCCCATCCTTGCATGCTCCCCGCCCGAGCCCGCCACAAGGCTGAGTGGGTCATGTGTCCCCTCGCTGTCAGCCGCCTCTCCTCTCTCTGTGTCCCCCCCGGCCACCGTCCCTCATCCCCAGCATGCCGCCCGCACCCTCCTCCCTCACACCACCACCACGCATACCCCGAGAGTGCCAGCATCCTCCCCTTTCCCACCCCGCCCTCGCATCCTCCACTGTCCCCCCCCCCCCGCTTCACCATTCCTCGAATCGTGCCCCCCTTGCCCCTGCCTGCCTCCGGGCCTTTCCTCATTCTTCCCTCGTATCTTTCTCCCTCTGCCCCTCCCGCCTGCCGCCGCCAGGCGTATCCCGAGTGGGTGATGTTCACATTCAACGGCCTCTGCAGCGCGCTCTACCACCTCTGCGACACGGACGGGTGGTGCGCGGCGCGCTACCCCACGCTGCAGTTCGCCGACTTCTACTCGAGCTTCCTGGCGGTGCTGCTGGCGTGTCTGCACGCCGCCCACATGCCCATCTGGCCGCGCTTCCTCTTCTTTGCCGTCACCGCCTTCCTCACCGCTGTCATGGCCGTTGATCACGCCACCAGGTGCACTGTCATGGCCGTTGACCACGCCACCAGCTGCGATGCTGGCAGGGCCGCAGCTAAAGCCCGCAGTGCCTCGTTTCCTCCCTCACGTGTCGTTGTCACCCCGCCAGTGCTTCTCTTCTTCAACCTCCTTCTCACTTTCGCCCCTTCCGCCTTTCTCTCTCATCTCATCCCACAACCTCTGCCTCACTCCACTGCACTTGATGGCACGCGTGGACCCACTGCCAGACTTAAGTATGGAATCAGCAGCACTGCTGCTCGCCCATGCACTCACCACTCTCCTCACCGCTGTTTTCTTTCCCAACCCTCCATCCTCTCCCCCTCCTCCCCTTCCCCCCCCCCACCCTTCCCCGCATGCAGTGGGTGGAGCATCGTGCTGCTGCTGCTCTTCGGCGCCGCTGCCCTCATCTCTGCGTGGCTCATTCGCTTCGCTGCCCTCCGCCGCTCCTCCTCCTCCTCGCCCCCGCGCGTTGCTCACAGCGCTCTGCAAGACGTAGGCATCACGCATCATCCCCTTGAGACCCACTCGCATCAGCGGCTGAAGGGGGATGAGGACCTGAGGGGCGATGATGACGTGGAGGGCGATGATGACGTGGAGGATGAGAATGGCGCGTCTGTGCTGCTGCCAGGCTGCACACGGGCCGACCAGCCTTCCGACCGAGCGAGCAGCTGGGACGGGTGCAGCAGCAGCAGCAGCGGCAGGAGTGGCAGGAGGTGGTCGCTTGGGGTTGCATGTGCAAGCGGCGCACAGCAGCGGCCACCTGTGTGGAGAAGAGCTTTCCACTGGTGCGTGGCATGGATGGCATGCGCTGCCATGCGTCATGGATGGCATCCGCTGCCATGCGTCATGGATGGCATGCGCTGCGATGCGTCATGGATGGCATGCGCTGCGATGCGTCATGGATGGCATGTGCTGCGATGCGTCATGGATGGCAGGCGCTGCGATGCGTCATGGATGGCATGCGCTGCGCTGCGGCATGGATGGCATGCGCTGCGATGCGTCATGAATGGCATGCGCTGCGATGCGTCATGGATGGCATGCGCTGCGATGCGTCATGGATGGCATGTGCTGCGATGCGTCATGGATGGCAGGCGCTGCGATGCGTCATGGATGGCATGCGCTGCGCTGCGGCATGGATGGCATGCGCTGCGATGCGTCATGAATGGCATGCGCTGCGATGCGTCATGGATGGCATGTGCTGCGATGCGTCATGGATGGCATGCGCTGCCATGCGTCATGGATGGGATGCGCAGCCATGCGTCATGGATGACATGCGCTTCCATGCGTCATGGATGACATGTGCTGCGATGCGTCATGGATGGCATGCGCTGCCATGCCTCATGGATGGCATGCGCTGCCATGTGTCATGTGCCATGCGTCATGGATGGCATGTGGTGCCGTGCGTCATGGATGGCATGTGGTGCCGTGCGTCATGGATGGCATGCGCTGCCGTGCATCATGGATGGCATGTGCTGCCATGCGTCATGGATGGCATGCGCTGCTATGCGTCATGGATGGCATGTGGTGCCGTGCGTCATGGATGGCATGCGCTGCCGTGCGTCATGGATGGCATGCGCTGCCATGCGTCATGGATGGCATGCGCTGCCGTGCGTCATGGATGGTATGCGCTGCCGTGCGTCATGGATGGCATGCGCTGCCGTGCGTCATGGATGGTATGCGCTGCCATGCGTCCCTCTCTCACCACCTGCTCTAGTTGCTGCTTTCCCCGTCCCATCTGCTCGTCCACCTGCCACGCGCAGCTCTTTCTCCGTGCGCCCATGTTCGTCATCGCGTTGTGTCCGCTGCCGCTCTTCTATCAACCACCCCATCACCTTCGCTTTGCCTCCCCTTTATCTATCCACCACTTCCTTCCCCCCTCACCTTTTTTTGTCCTGCCCTGAACAATTCGGTGCCCTTCCTGTCTCCTCTACCACGCTGTCGCCCCCCTCCCCTCTGCCCCACAAGCATTCTCCACAGCCTGCTCGACCTCTCACCTCTCTGCCTCCCACCAGCCCTTGCCACCGCTGCCACTGCTGCCATCGCACAAACGCCGCCACCCCTGCGCTCATTCCCCGACGTCCCCATCCCTTCCCCTCACCCCTTCCCCCCCCCCCCCTGACAGGGCGCTGTGGCAGGTGGCCCTGCTCGTGCGTCTGCTGCGCGCGCACCTGGCGGCATTCCACATGCCGTCGCTGCTGCTGGGCGTGGCGGCGGCGCTGGTGGGCGGCAGCTGCTTCCTGGTGGAGGTGCCCGCCACGTACTGGATCTGGCACAGGTGGGGCGCATGGCCATGGCCATGGGTGCGTGGGGGGGTGGGCATGGGGGTTGCATGCGGTGAGGGCAATGTTGGGCTGGTGGGAGTATGGTGTGGTATGGGTGGGAGCATGGTGTGGCATGGGTGGGTGTATGGTGTAGCATGGGTGGGTGTATGGTGTGGCACGGGTGGTAGTATGGTGTGGCATGGGTGGGTGTATGTACGCACATGAGTGTTCAACTACATCCAGAGAGAGAGAAGAGGGGCTGGAAAATACAGCTTGATTCATGTATTTAAAGTTCTCTACAAGAACAGCAGGTGTTGGTGCTCTCAACTCCTCGAGGATTGGTTATGGTGCTCCCCCATCCTCTCCCCACAGCACACTCATATCTGCCCTTTTCACCTGCCCTTCTGACCCTCCCTCTTGCTCAACCCATGTCTCTGGCGCTTGTTCCCTCGCGTGTGTGTGCTGCAGTGTGTGGCACGTGTGCATGTACTCCTCCGCCTTCTTCTTCATGCTTGCATCGCCCCCACCCAACAAAGGGGCCTCCTCCACGCCTCTCGCGCCGTCTCCACTCTCATTGCCGCACAAGCAGCACCGCCCTCCGTTTTCCACCAGCCCCTGCGTCCATGGCACCGTCGCTGACGCTGATGGCTCCACCAGCGATGGCTTCACCAAAATCGGTTGGGCCCAAGAGAATCGAGGCAGTGGTTGTTCGGCTGGAAGACAGGTGGAGGTGGATGAGGAGAGAGGGCTCTTACTGATACATGACGACTTGTGACTCTAAATCGTAGCTCCAAACTTGATCTTCGTTAGGAATGTAATCTACCCTACCTCTAAGAAAAATGGCGTGGTTTGTTGGTACAAAGTCACCCCTATTGCACATCACCCTACCGCCTCTTCCTCGCGGCACCAACATGGTGGCAGGTGAATACCCTCTAATGAAGCTGGGTAAATTCTATGCATGTGTGTTTGTTTGCTGGGGGCGAGCTCTATGGAAGGCCCTTCGAAGGCGCATGGAAGTCCCATGGAAGTCCCATGGTCCCAAGGAAGTCCCGTTGGAGTCCCATGGGAGTACCGTGGCAGTCCCACGGGAGTGCCACGGGAGTTCTATTCTATGGGAGTCTTATGGGAGTCCTACTGTAGAAGTGAACCACATGTTTAAAGTGGCCAGGATCTAGAGTTGGTGGAACCACGAGTAAAAGTCAGCAGAAGACTTTACACCTTGTATTGGAAATGTCTGAAATGACAAGGATAAAAATAATGAGTAATACAGGCATATTTATAGTCTAGGACGTACCTGTTTGGAATGTACCTGTTCGTAGTGTAACGCGACTATTCGCGTGACATGGCTAGTGATTGTTCGTGTGACTGAGAGTGGCGTGACCCTTCGGGTGACTATATGCGCGAACCTGCTGTTCACGCGTTGACTCGCTACTGCTGACGTCATCACAAGCGTCCTTCCATATGAGGTATAGTGCTACGAGTACAATCTAGTTGCCAATCAGGAATGCAAAAGTAGCCTCTGTCGAGCATACTTCAATACTCCCCTTCAATTCTTGAGTGCATGTCTCTAGGTAAGTGTCGCCGCGTTTGCAGATTCCAACCAGGTTGGAGCAGTATTGAAACTTGCCACGTAAAAGTTTCGTCGTCAGAAAATGAGCTGCCATTTCGTCTGTAGGGCAGTATTTCAGGACAACCTTCTCAGAGTAATGAATTTACTAGAATGTGAGAAATACGGTGGTTTTGTGCAATGGGGTTGTGGAGCTACGTGCGACCACCGGACCTGAGGAGGGGTCAGCCAGCGCTACAGTGGCAGGGGTAGCAAGCGGCGTGAGCAAAGTGTGGTCGCGGAAGAAATTGGCAGACGCGCCAGAGTCAAGCATGAAAGAAAGCGAGGCAGTAGCGTCTGCGATAGCGACGGCTTGTGGAGGGGCTAGCTTAGAGCTTAAGCTAAACCAAGGAGGAGGTCCTACGCCTGACGTAGCAGGGGAACCTAGCCGACACACAGGGGGCACACCTACACAAGGCAATACAGGGAAATAAGATCCGGTCACACTAGAGTCATCAGCATACATGACATACATAGCAATTCTAATCTGATCCATGTCAAGCTCAAAGACGGGCACACGGCGGCGGGCCAAGGCGTACCGGTTAGGAGGTTCCGAGGTGGGACCAAAGCGGAGACGGTAGAGGTCGTCGAGGCAGCGGTAGCAGCGGGCGGCGGTGGGACCTGAACTGTTGCAAACAGTGCTGCGGCGGGGGCCGGTCTGGAGCTGGTACTGGCAGGTGGCCACACTGGAGCCACCACCCGACACCGTGCCGCGCGGGGCACCACCACGACCACCACCACCAGCGCCACCAGGCCACCACAGCGGCGGGGGTCCCCACGGCGGCTGTTGCTGTGACTGCTGCTGCTGAGGCTGCTGTTGCTGCTGCTGTTGCTGCTGCTGCTCCGGGGCACCAGCCCCGGTCGCCTCGTCTGCACCACTTTCCCTGCCCCCATCTCCACCACTCCCACCACCCCCACCACCCTTCCCTCCACCACGCCCCCCCTTGGGGCGGCTGCCCCTACCCTGACGGTGCTGCGCAGAGGCCGCGGTGGCGGTCTCAATAGCAGGGGCTGTCTCAGCAACAGCGGAAGAAACGTCAGAGTTATTGCACTGGGTGGGAGCACAACCCTGGAAGATAGGGACCGGCGCAGTACCGCTAGACTAAGCGATAGTGCACTGGCGGGTCTCTATCGCGGACAGGGTGGTGACAAAGGCAGGGAGGGTGAAGTCACCTGGGTGCTGACTAAGGAAGTGGTTGCGGGCAGTGGTTTGGCGGTCAGGCAGGCGCGTGGCAATGAGATAAAGGGCAGCACAGAGCGGCGGTGAGCTGTGGCTCAGTGCTAGCGGCACGGTAGCTTGTCTCCAATTCGCCGAGGTGCATGGCAAGGTCAGCGACAGGGGGGAAGGACGCAAGGTCAGGGAACAGTATGGGGAGGATCAGACGACATGCAGAGGCTGAGGCTGGGTTGGAATAACGCGCGATGACAGCATCTAAGTAGTCCTTGGCGTTCACGAAAGCGGTAAAGTGGGGACGTTCAGACAGAGGGAGAGCGTGGCTAATGGCAAGCTGAGCAACAGCGTCACGTGAGTCCCAGGCAGCACAGGCAAGCTCGGCAGTGACAAAAGCCTCACGCTCAGCTGTCGTGGGGGCGTTAGGGAGGGCAGCAGGCGGGGCGGGCCGTGGGAGCTTACTGTCGACGTGGACGGCCAGGGAGTGGCCGTCCTAGTGCTGCCTGGTCAGCTAGCAGCGGAGGTCAACGAGCCACGCCTCAAACTGAATGGCCTGACCCTCCGCGTCTTGGCGAAGGAAACCGTCCTCCATCGCCACGGCTGCAGCAGCTGACAGCCTCCGGAGGCAGTGGAGAGCGGTGGGGAGTGGTGGAGAGTGGTGGAGAGCAGTTGAGAACGGTGGTATGCGGGTAAGAGCGGTGGAGTGCGGTGCTGAGTGGTGACATGTGGTGAAGAGCGATGGAGACTGCCGGCGGGAGCGCCGACTCAGAGGGGAGCCCAGAACGGCAGGTGGGGGGGCGGCAGAGCGGCTCGGCGGCGCAGCAATACGGCGTCACGGTGGCACTGCGGCACGGCTGCCCGGCGGCGCAGCGGCTTGGCGACACAGCGTCACAGTGGCACTGGGGCTTGGAGGCACGGTGGCACATCGGCTCGACGGCATGACGGCTGGCGGGTGCGGGGTTGGCATGCGCGGGGCCAGCAAGCATGGTGCTGGCGGGCTCAGGGCTAGCGAGTGAGGGCCAACGAGTGCGGGGCCAGTGGGCGCGAGGCCAGCGAGCGCAGGGCCAGCGAGCGAGGGGCTGGTGAGCGCGGAGCTGGCGACTGGAGGGCCAACGAGCAACGGGCCAGCAGGCGCAGGGGGGGGCGCGCGTGAGGCCAGCGAGGTACAGGCCAGCGAGCGACGGGGCTGGTGAGCGCAGGGCCGACGAGCACAGGGCCGGCGAGCGACGGGCTGGCAGGCATGGGGCTGGCGAGCACGGGGCCAGCAAGCGACGAGGCTGGCAGGCACGGGGCCAGTGAGCGATGGGGCTGGCAGGCGCGGGGCTCGCAAGCGCGGGGCCAGCGAGCGACGGGGCTGGCAGGAGTTCGGCTGGCGAGCGTGGGGCCATTGAGCGATGGGACCAGCAGGCACGGGGCTGGCAAGCGCGGGGCCAGCGAGCAGAGGGGCTGGCAGGCGTGGAGCTGGCGAGCGCGTGGCCAGCGAGCGACGGGGCCGGCAGGCGCGGGGCTGGCAAGCGCGGGGCAAGCGAGCGGAGGGGCTGGCAGGTACGGGGCTGGCGAGCGCGGGGCCAGCGAGCGATGGGGCTAGCGATGGGCGGCTGGCGGGTACGAGTGGCCAGCAGGTACAGGCGGCTGGTGGCTAGTGGCCAGTTGCGGTGAGCGGCGCGCAGCTAGCAGAGGCGGCTAGCGATGGGCGGCTAGGAGCGGGCAGGCTAGCGACGGGCGGCTAGCGATTAGCGGCTAGGAATGGGCGGCTAGGACTAGGATTAGGGCGGAAGCACGGGTGGGCGGGGAGGACCTAGCCTAGCGCGTGATACCATCTCAGAGTAATGAATTGACTAGAATGTGAGAAACATGGTGGTTTTGTGCTATGGGGTTGTACTCTCTAAGAGTACGCACCTATCTAGCCTATAGTAACATATACACATATGTTTGATAGACCTTGCCTTTGTAGATTTCGTCCTTGACAATTACGTAACAGAGGGCTGTGTTTTGTCCTGTTGACGAAGCCGGGCTTGTTTGCAATCTTGATTGCACTCTGGTTGTTGCAGAGTAACTTGAAGTTACGTGTCGTTGCGATTTTTGCCTCTTGAAGTAACTCTTGAAGATAGAGTCCTTCGCGAACTGCAGAGCTTGCTACGACGAATTCTGCTTCGGCTGACGAAAGTGTGATGACTTCCTGTTTCGTTGAGTTCCAGGAAATGACACCACCCGGTTCAAGTTTGAAGATGAAACCTGTATGCGAACGCTTGTTGCTGGGGTTAGCAGCATGATCAGCATCAACGTATCCTGTCAGTCGAAAATTTGCTGCAGTGTTTGCCGTGTAGCTGATGCCGATTGTAGGAATAGAAATGAAATATTGGAGGCTCGACAAAGATCGGCCATATTCTCCTTTTCAGGTTGGTGCAGGTACTGTGTGAGCTAACTCGTGATGTAGGCAAAATCTTGGCGGCATATAATAGCTGCAAATAGAAGACATGCGAGCTGCTGGTGGTAAAGCTGATGCTCGGAGGTGCAAAGTGGGGTAGTATCAGGTGTGTGATCGGCCGAAATGTGACGAAATGGAGTTGTGAGGCTGATAGGAGCGATGGAGAACATTTTCGCAAGTGTTTCTGCATACTTGCTTGTAGAAAGGTAGATGGCATCGGGGCCGTAGTCGACGTTTAACCCAAGAAATTGGGTGACGCTTGGAGAAATAGTCACTTCAAGAATCGTTTGGATTCTTTTCTCCACGCTCGCCAGACGACTGTTGCACGAGCCGGTGTACAGTAAGTCGTCGATGTAGGCGACTAGGAGAATATAATTCTCTTGAAATTCGAGTTTGTACATTTCAGGATCGTGGGGCAGCTGCAAGAAGCCGAGTGAAATCATCACTTTGTGAAGATGCTGCTGCCACATGCGAGGAGCCTGTTTGATGCCATAGAGTGATTTAAGTAACTTGCAGATGTGGAGTTCCGCACTCCCCTCCGTCCCTTGACTTGTCCCCCATTCCCCCTCGTCCCTAGTCCCCAGCTCTTCCCCACAGGGTCCGTCGCCCCTCTGGTGCTTGTCCTGTCTCTCCCCGTCCTAGTGTCCGCCCTATGGTC